CAGGGTGTTGGATTCGTTTAAGCTGGAGTTACAGGTGGTTATGAGCCATCCAACTTGGGTTTGGGGAACCGAACTCGGGTCTTTTGCAAGAGCAGCACATGCTCTTAGCCACTGAGCTCTAATCTTTGTGTTTTTTGTGGAAGCTACGCCAGCAGGGTGAGATGCAGGCTCGGCGTAGTTGATTTTTATTCTTAAGTTTTGTTGCTGCTGTTATCATTTTGTTTTTGCAGTGCTGGCTTAGAATTTAGGGTCTTATGCTAAGTGCTATAACCACCGACTGACACCCCGCCCCCCACCCCCCAGCCTCAATGTAATGTTGACTTAATTCCCTGATGCCTAAGATGTGAGCATAAAATTTATCTTTAGACATTTAGCAAATTAGAACCAAACAAAAGAGGAAAGCTTTTATTAGGGCTTATTCAGAAAAGCAACTCACAGTGGATACTTGTGAGTCTTGTTACACTACTAAGTCAGGGTTGATATTTGTTAAAAAAAAAAAAAAAAAAAAAAACTATGAAAGAAAGCCAGTCAGCATTAAAAAAAAAAAAAAAAAGATGTTGGGTGAGTATGCCAAGCAAGAAACACTAAAATGTATGAACTGTGTCTTAAACCAGTGGTGCAGACATACCCCCGCTGTGTAAAAAGTGAAAGTGAGCATTTTTCTGAAAACTGGCATTCTTCCTCCCCCTCCCCCTCCGAAGCGCTAGGATTGCAGAACACTCCCTTTAGTACATTCATTTTGTACATGTACATATTCTTCTTAGTAATGCAAAACGTTCAAGTAGTGTACAGGATGATATGCAAAGTGTGAGTGTGTGTGTGTGTGTGTGCACACAGTGGGGTCTTTCTAGGAATCTGCCCATGCCCACCAATAATAACACTTCAGGGTGGTAACATAAAAGGAAAGCAGTTATAGGTTTGTGCTGGTATGTGCTGGAGATGACAACAAAATTTTTAAAAATCATCAGCCACTCACTGCCAAGCCCTGTGGCACACCTGCTTAAGTATTACTCATGAGCTTTTTGTGAGAGATTAGCTTGCAGCATAAGGGGAAGGCTTGCGGTATCCCGTGAACGACAGCGTTCCAATGGTGCTCCAGTCAGGGTATTTTGGGGGCTGCCTCTCCAGTTATGAGACCGTAGGCCGACCCTGGCTGGGCCCCACCTGCTACACGATGACCACTGACCACATGATTTTTAAACAAGAGCATACAGAACCGTGTCATGGAGTTGTCCTGGCATCTGCCATTGTCTTGGGTCAGTGTCAGGGCCTGTCTGGTTCACTTACGCTTCCTCTGATTTACCCACCTCTACCACCCCCTTCACCCTGGGGTGCACAACATGACCCCTCGCTAGCTGGAAAGTGAAAACCTAAGTGAAGTCCCCTTAAATAACAATAATCTTAGGAGCCGACAATCTCTCTTCTATTTAACTCTTCATTACTATCTGCCCATTCTGCCAAACTCCTCCCCACTGGGGCTGGAGGGATAAGTGCCAAGCCTTTACCATACTAAAGTCAAGTGCCTTACCACTGAGCCACCTAATCAGCCCTCTCTACTGAATCATTTTCCTTTTTCAAGGGGCGTCTGTTCTCTAGGTTCAGAGCATATAACCTTCCTGAGTCTTTACAAAGCTTTCCAGAAAATAAGGCAGAGAGCGCCCTGTATATAAAGCCAATCTTCTCTGTGTTGCTTAAGGCAAAGAGGTTATTTGAACCTCACTAGCAAATTCTATGTGTAATCAAAATGTAGCTACACACACACACACACACACACACACACACACACAAATTAGTATTTAACTCCCTTAGAAGGCAGAGATTGGGTCTCTACAGTCCACTTGTAAATGTAACAATGTTTCTCCCAGGAGTAGTTGTACAAGCCTGTAACTCCAGCCCTTGAGAGACTCAGGCAGAGGCAGTGCCAGGAACAGCCTGGCTTAAATTGTAGGCTAGCCTCACCTAGATACTAAGACCTTGTCTTGGAGAACAAGAAAGGAAAGACGGAGGGCAGGAGGAAATACATCTTGGAAAGCTTTTTAAAATTAATCTTCAAGGAGAGGAGTGCAACTATCATCATACTGTTTAGGTTCAGACCCCTTGAACCCTCTTTTCTAAATATAATAATAATAATCTGTTCTGTCACCTCAGAAAAGGAAAGCATAGTAAGCTGCCCATGGGTGAGGAGAGCTGAGTACCATTTTTAAACAGGTCAGGAGGACTCTGATGTCACAATTGAGCAGAGCTGCAAAGAAAGTGAAGCGAAGACCCAGATGTCATCTGGAAGAAGAGTCTTTGGGTACATGCTCAGAGCCTGGGATGGAATATGGTGGTAGCTGGTTCTCCTGGAGCCAAGCCCTCTGGGAAGAAGAACCTTCTCAAGAGCAAACCACACCATGCCTCCCAGGACACGGTAGAGACCTTGGGTTGTACCCTGGGTGTGATGGGAGGTGTTGCTAGAAAGTTTTGAGCAGGGGGAGGGTATGAAGTGTTCTCATGTGCTCACTGACATGAGGACAGACTGAAGGGGCCATGGCGGGGTCAGGTGGACTATTAAAGGGAACGAACACACTTGGAAGAGAGACGATCAGGCATGGTGGTCAGATGTTTTCAAGGCAAAACAGAGAGAATGAATGAATGAAGCGTAGGGAGTAAAAGTAGAAGCCAGTGATGACTCCAAAGGCTTGGACCTATTTAGCTGGGAAAACAAGAGTAGCTGACATGAGGAGCTGTTGAAGGTGGAGTGGCTGTGGAGGCAGGAAAAGGACAAGGACTGGGTTTCGACATGATTTCTGAAATCGAAGCAGACAGCCTTTGAAAACAGGTCCAGTCAAGCAGTTTATGTAAAACAGCTGCCCTAGACTCAGAGGGTCCTGTATTCTAAGAACCGGAGAAATGCCTGTTACTCCTGTCCTCTCTTCCTTCCTGAGGCCGCAGCTGACTATAGCATGAGCCCAGCAGGTGTGAGACAGTGATCAGTACGCCGCATTGGAAAACTAATAATTCCCTTTGATGCTGAACTTGGGCCAGAGCCTTCCTCCTAGCATATTTCTTTCCTAGATCCCGTTGGTCATCTACATGGTGATCTACATGGATTTTCTTAAATTTCCTAATGTTTTTAATTGCTGAGTAATTTGCACTGTGTAAATGTACCACAATTTCTGTATCCATTCCTCAATTGAGAGACATCTAGGTTGTGTCCAGATTCTGGCTATTACAAATAAAGCTGCTATGAACATGGTTGAGCAAATGTCCTTATTGTGTACTTGAGCGTCTTTTGGATATATGCCCAGGAATGGTATAGCTGGATCTTGAGAAAGCACTATTCTTAATTGTCTGAGAAAGCCCCAGATTGACTTCCAAAGTGATTGTACAAGTTTGCATTCCCACCAGCAATGGAGGAGGGCTCCCTTTTCTCCACAACCTCTCCAGCATGTGTTGTCACTTGAGTTTTTGATCTTAGCCATTCTGATGGGTGTAAGGTGAAATCTCAGGGTTGTTTTGATTTGCATTTCCCTGATAAGGATGTTGAGCATTTCTTTACGTGTTTCTCTGTTATTCGGTATTTCTCTATTGAGAAGTCTCTGTTTAGCGCTGTATCCCATTTTTACTTGGTTTATTGGTGTTTAACTTGAATTCTTTATATATTCTGAATATTAGCCCTCTGTCAGATATAGGGTTGGTGAAGACCCTTTCCCAGTCTGTAGGCAGCAATTAAAAACAAGGAAATCATGAAATTTTCAGGCAAATTATGGGATCTAGAAAAGATCATCCTGAGTGAGGTAACCCAGAAGCAGGAAGACACACATGGTACATACTCATAAGTGGATATTAGACATATAATATAGAATAAACATACTAGAATCTATAGTCCTAAAGAAGCTAAACAATAAGAAGGACCCTAGGGAAGGTGCTTTATCCTCATTCAAAAGGGCAAACGGGATAGACATCAGAAGTAGGAGAGGGCAGGAAACAGGGAAGGAACCGACCACAGAGGGCCTCTGAAAGACTCTACCCAGCAAGGTATTAAAGCAGATGCTGAGACTCATAGCCAAACTTTGGGCAGAGTGCAGGGAACTTATGGAAGAAGGGGGATATAGAAAGACCTGGAGGGGACAGGAACTCCACAAGCAGACCGAAAGAGCCAAAAAATCTGGGCACAGGGGTTCCTGCAGAGACTGATGCTCCAACCAAGGACCTTGCATGGAGAGGACCTAGAAGCCCTTGCTCAGATGAAGCCCATAGGCAGCTCAGTCTCCATGTAGGATCTCTAGTAAGGTTAACAGGGACCGTCTCTGACATGGACTCAGTGGCTGACTCTTTGATCACCTCCTCCTGGGGGGCAGGGGGGGACATCTTTGCCAGGCCACAGAGGAAGACAATGCAGCTAGTCCTGATAAGATCTGGCTAGGGTCAGATGGAAGGGGAGAGGACCTCCCCATCAGTGGACTAGGGCAGAGCCATAGGGGGAAAAGAGGGAGCAAGGGGGGGACTGGGAGATGAGGGGGGGAAGCTACAGCTGGGATACAAAGTGAATAAATTGTACTAAGTAATAAATAAAAAGGAAAAAAATAATAAAATATTTTTTTTAATTCCTAATGTTTGAACTTTCTAAGAACTGGGCTCAAAGACTGCTTCCTGTAATTTCAGCTCTGAGGAGCTCAGGCAGGAGAATTTTCTGTGGGTTTGAGGCCAGCCTAAGCTACATAGTAAGCACCAGGGTAGCCCAATGACTGCTATCAAAACTGTCTCAATACCAACAACAAAAAAGACTTAGCTTAAGCTAAGTAACCTTGAGATCAGTGTCCTTCCAGGCCCTGGAGCACGCGACTCATACAGGGTTGGTCACCTGTGCTGAGCAGTGCCCTAGGTGTGCTTCTGTGTAGTTTTGACTCTAGCCTCCTGCCTGATGACGGGGGTTAACAGGAAATGCTGAGTGACTGAGAGCCTGTGCAGAAATGTTGAGGAACTAATGAAGTATCTCTGTTTGTCTCATTCTGTAGCATCTGATGGCTGTAAAGTACAAGAGAAGAAAACTGCCCCCAACCGCCCCACTTCTACAGTTTCAGGACAAAATAGCAACCACTCAGGAAATAAGCCAGGTATGATATCGGGCATTTACATAGGGAAGGTTATTTCAAAAGCCTCAGACTGATGAGTAGAAACTAAAGGTAAGAGTTTGTTGGTCCCAGTCAACAAAACCTTCACACATATTTGTGAGGCAAAAGTAAAATCTCCCAATGCATTTGTGCTCTCTCTCTCTCTCTGTCAATTTTTTCTCACACATACACAAAGATTTATGTATTTATGTATATGAGTGCTCTGTTTGCATGTATGCCTGCATGACCAAAGAGGGCATCCAACAGAAGAGGCCCATCATATGATTGCTGGGAATTGAATTCAGGACCTCTAGAAGACAGGTCAAAAATACTCAGAAAAACCTCCCAATTTTTGAGTATGCCAGGATCATTGTACACCTCTTGTGACTTTTCTGAAAACCCACTCAGAAGTAAGTCCACACAGAAGTAAGCCCACACAGAAGTAAGCCCACTCAGAAGTAAGCCCACACAGAAGTAAGCCTTTGCTCAGTTCCCTGCAGTGATCATAGCCTAGCTACAGAGTAATTTTATATAATTGCTTGTGATTCATGATCTGTTCCATTCAGTGCCACAAAGAAAGAAAGCTGTCTGTAAACATAATACAAACATCAGAACAGGCAACACCACCTTCTTCCCAGCATACAACAACCAGTGTGTGGCTCGTGGGCAAGCTGGGTATGAAGCATGATAATGATGTTGACAGTGACAATGAAGATGGTGATTATGATGGTGGTGATGGTGGTGGTGATGATGACGGGGACAATGACGATGGTGACGATGGTGGTGGTGTTGATGACGGTGACAATGATGATGGTGGTGACAATGATGATGACAGTGATGATAGAGATAGTCCTCAAGGTTCTCAGACACCTGCTTCATACATTATTCAAGCCAGACCACTCAATTTGAATGCATCAGAGAGAATAAAGACAGAAATGCCTAGGTCTAATCTTACAAAGCATCCTCCATCATAATTAAGTCTTTTCGTCATGTGGAAAGCACGTATATTGGAGGAGATAAATCTAGTGTGCCCTGTAGGAAGAAGACAGCAGCAGATGTTGTTGCTTGAACAGTCTGGGCCGCATTTTAACGAGCAGGCTGAGCTCTTCCCTCTGTTCAGCTACCTCTGCCCACCCCCCTTCCCACCAGCAGCTAGTACTTACTGGAGGTTTCTCTGTGCCAGAGTTAGGCAGATGCTGTGTAAATAAACTCAAGTCCCCATCCCACAGGACTCACCCTAGTGGACCTGTCTCCTTACGTTCATATAACCACCCTGGGACCATAATAGTTCCTTTTGTTATTTGTTCTTATTGTGCTTGAGATCAAGCTCAAGGCCTTGCTTTATGCTAGGCAAGCATAGCACCACCAGCCATTTCCCAACCTGACATAGAAATCCTCTCTTTTAAAATGTTGCTTAGGTTTTATTTAATTTCGTGTGTGGCGAGGCGGGTTCAGTGAGAGACTATATATATCAAGAGAATGAGAGAGAGAGCGATACACACCTGGCATTCTCCTCTGCCCTTCATGTGTATTCACAAGCATGCGCACACCTGTGCACACACAGGCACATACACACTCACGCGCACATACACATAAATACAAGCAATAAAAATTCAGGACAGCTGAAGGGGAAGCGCCACATTGACTAGCCAGGAGATGCTTTCTCACCTCAGGAGCCCCGATTCTTACAACTCAGGTTTCTCAGTGTTACTTTGCATGGGATGGGTGGGGCGTAACATAGATTTGTATTATTGAAATTATCTTTGCACAGTTTTATGTGAAATTCCAGATGTGCCTGAAGACAAGATAGAAGGCCTGTGTCTTTTAGACTGACACTGTCTATTCACAGAATTTGTCTGTAATTTTAAAAGTAACTGCTCTATCTTAAACACTTCTTACAATGTCCTTTGCAGTTGACTTTCCTCCTTTATATGGCTAGTTTTTAGGAGTGACTAACCCTCCCATTTAAGGGATATTATTTAAAAGGCAAAGTAAACCTTTTTCTTCTAACTTCACCTTGATTGGTTCTGTTTTTTGTTTTTGTTTTTGTTTTTTTTTTTTCTTTTCTTTCTTCAAAATAACATTTGCTTTCATCAGAAATTCATGGTATGAATGGCCCTTGACAAATTGCCTGAGAGAGGCCACATAACCATTCCCGGTTTCGCAATTATATCTATTGATGGTGGGGAGAGATCACCCTACAGAAATATTTGAAACTTCATAATAATTAAGAATCTCAATGTTTTGTTGGGGACCAAACATGGGTCCTCTGCAAGAATAAGTAATTAATTGAGCCATCTCTTTAGCCCCTCATTTGTCAAGCATTTTAAACAGGAGAAAAATACCTATATACCAATGCATATGTGTTTTAGATTGACTCTTGCCATATTTTCCATCCCATTTCAGATCCCCCGCCTGTGCTACGCGTTGATGACCGGCAGCGTCTGGCCAGGGAACGCCGTGAGGAACGGGAAAAGCAGCTAGGTAGTCCCAGCCCTGCATTATACCTGTCCTGTGCCCACCTTGTTGAAATGCTGACTTTTCTGCTCTGGGACGGGGGTCATTTACCACCGAGAGAGTAGGCATCACTGCAGCATCTGGGCCCTCGTGTGCACGCTTGTGTGTTTGCTGGCGGTTGGTGAAGCAGCCTAGTGTGAGAGCCAAGCAAAGGGCTAGGATTACATAGTATTTAGCTGTAGTCTACAAAACCAAGAAAAGGAGAAACAGGACCAGGACAGTAAACAGGTCCTTTTTTTCAAGCACAAAGCCATGAGACTTGACACTGCTACAACACTTCCTGGTGTCCACGTTGAAATAATCCTGCTGTTGACTTTACAGACAGGAAAGGCAGACACCTGTTGCCACTGTCCCGCTTTCCTCTTGTCACCAGAGGCCCTTGGGAGAGGTCAGCAGCTCTCGTGTTTGCCTGTAACCACCTGGCAAGCTGAGTCACAAGACTGGAACACCAGGAAGTGGCGAGCCTGGCACACGGGAGGAACAGTTTCTGTGTTTCTACAGCGTTGGCTAAGGACGCCAGTGCCAGCCCTGCCTTTGTTTGCTGTCTTTTGTTCAGTTATTTTCAGAATGAACTTTTATATTGAGTGATCTTATGGTTTTAATCCAACAAACTTTTTTTTTTTTCACTTTCATTTTGAACAATTTAGTGAGAGGGCATTTTGATTACGCTCACCCTCATTTTTCTCATTCCACCGTTGTGCCCACCCCGAGTTGCTTTCCCACACTCAGGTCTTGTGCATGGGTGCTGTGTGTCCACAGGTTTGCCACTATTTACAGAGCATGGTCAGCTCAGCAGTGGATACACAACTGAAGACAGTGTCTGCTCCTCCCCAGGGGTCCTTTAGAGCAGTTCAATGGGGAGGGCCAGGCCAGGCTGCCAAACAAGAATCCCTCCCTGCACACAATGAAAAGATGATGCTTAGCCTGTCTAGTGTGCGTAGAGGTCTTGAATCTAAGACAGGCTAGGGTCTGAGGTCTTCGCAGGAAGTGGCCCACGCTTTGCTGAAGTTGTATGGCCCAGAAGAGCTAGTTCATTCATCACAGGAGGACCCAGCCTCTCTAGCCCGTTCCTTCTACTGTTGCTCATCAAGAACCCAAGTGTGTGACACTAGTAGCCTCAACAGGCTTGGTGACACTTTTTAGCACAGGCCTGTTTCTCTTCGTATAGTAGCAAGATGATGTCATTTTGTGTGTTGCTGTGCTTTTTACTTTTGTTGATTTTAATTTAAACCTTGTGTTTATGTGTGTATGTATATGTTGTGTGTATATTTGTGTATATTTGTGTTTGTGTGTGTGTTTGTATGTGTATGTATATGTGTGTATGTTTGTGTCTGTATGATTTGTATGTGTGTGTGTGTGTGTGTGTATGTGCCATGTATATATGTGTGTCCCTATGCAATAATGTGTGTTTGGAGATCAGAGAACAACTTTGTGAAGTTGGTTCACTGTTTCTATCATTATGTATATTTTGGGAATCAAATTTAGGTCTTCAGGCCAGTGGGAAACCATTTTACTGGCTGAGCCATCTCATCAGCCATTTTCGTTGATTTTGCATTCACAGACATGGTGTCTGTGAAAAGATGATATAGCCCAACCTGGCCTTAAACCTGGGATTGTCTTCCTCCTTAGTGCTGGGATCACAGGCACAGCACAGCCTGATGCTGCTGAGATGTTTTTTAACATTTTCACTGACTCGCTGGGACATAATTAACCTCTGCTGTTTTCTGAACCTGGTGTTTCCTCCTAGACCTAAAGTCCCGGCTTCTGCCGGGTTTCCTGCAGACAGGCAGTTCCTGGAGAGCTGGCTGGCTGTGGCCTTCAGGCCCCACATCCTCCTGTGCACACTGCTCACTATAGTAAGGCTGGTTAAACAAGCTGGCCAGCACTGGAGTATTAAAAAAGAAAAGCTTTTAATGAATAGGAAACCCTTTGAAATATGCGCAATATAAAAACAACAAGAAGGTTGGCCAAATCAGTTGCTACTGTGCTTTCAAATTCTGGAATGCTGCATTTATGGAAATGTTTGAATTATTAGAAGGAAACAGTGAAAAATAACGGCCAATTGTTGATTATTTTCTGTCGGGTGTAGATGAAAATTAACATTGAAATAGTTGGGTTTTTTCCCCCCTTGTTGATTTGTTTGGTTTTCTGTCCAGATCTTTTAAAAGTCAGAAGCAGCCAGGGAAAGGCCGGGTGTTTTTATCTGGCAGCATGGTGTGCTTGTACCAGTGAGCAAGTAGGCAGGCTCAGCTAGTATTTCCTGTGAAATCTGAGTCATGCTTTAATGCTTTTATGGTCAGGGTGTATCATGCCTGCTCTTTCCATAGTATCCTTCGGTTTCTCATATAGAATCCAGCTTAGTCCTGCTCAGAGACTGCTCAGTGGGTTGGTTAGATGTAAGGCATATGCTCACTGAAAGCTTTTTACTCCATCTTAAGAGCCTTATACGTGGTCTCCTCCATCACTCTGCTGACTTAATCAGTTCAGGCTGGTCCTTGAAACTCCCTCTTCATTTCTGCATTTCTCTTCCTGTCTCTCTTCCAGGCTTTAATTTTGTTGTCATTATTTTTTTTTCACTAGGGCAAATGTCTTCGTCCTGCTCATTTGTTCCGATGTGTTCAGCTCTCTCTCAGATGGTGTTGACAATTCTCACATCCTTAGATACCCATAAGGGAGCAGGCAGTTCCCTATTGTCTGACACAGAACTTGTTTTGCTTTGGAGTTTTTGACACAGGTCTCTCTCTCTCTCTGGAGCCTAGGCCGGCCTCAGACTCACAATGCACCTCCTGTGTCAGCCCTCTGAGTGCCCAGGGAACAGGAGCAAGACACCACCTTCTGCTTTAAGCTCAGCTCCTCCACAGCTGTGTGGTCATCTCCCTCCAAAACTGCCTCATCTTAGTGACATCTGTGTCTCAGTCAGTTATACCAATACCTTCTTAACCCTGAGAAACTAGGGTCGTGTTTTGGCTTTTAGGGAGGTTGGTTGGTCAGTTTTGACATTTCAGCTGTTGCTAGCAGTACTGGAGTCCTCTTACCAGTCTTAGCTATTAACATGCTTACTGTGAGGATCAGACACTTGCATAAGTTCAGACAGCCGTGACTTCAGACACTCAAAACTGGGTTAGGGCGCTGTATGTCTAACCCCAGCTCTGAGGGGTGAAGGCAGAGCCTCGGAGCCTGCTGGCCAACCCTTCTTAACTGAAACAGTGAGCTCCAGGTTCAGCAAGAGACTTTCTCAAAAACTAAGGTGCAGCGTGATAGTGGAAAAGATCTCACATCAGCCTGGCCTCTGCATGCATATGCGTGAGTCAGCACACTTGTGCACATGCTTGTTCGCAGCATGCAAGAGTCACCACCCATAGGCATACATGCTCACAGCATGCGTGGGTCAGCGCGCGCGCACACACACACACACACACACACACACACACACGCTTTTACCTCCATTTCTCAACATTCCAACACCCGGCACAGTATAAATAATACAAAATATATGTAAGAAATTCTGCTCCTGTTCCTTCACCTGTAGTCTTGAGTGAAATACTAATGCCAGTGCTTACGGAGCAGTGAGGGTGAGCAGGGAAGCATCCTGGACACCTCACTAGCTGTTGCCACCCACGCTGGCAAATCCCTGCCGTGGTCACACTTGAAATGGATAAGGTAAATGACTTTGTAGCTTGTCAGCTTGTTCTAAGGTACATTGTGAACATTTAGCTTAAAGAAGTTCAGAGAACCTAAAACGACAGTGATGATGAGTAACAGCCTGGTTCTTCCCCCTGCGTTAGCTGTTTAAGCATGTGTTAGGTATGTGCACAGTTACCAGTGAGTTGTCGGCTTTGAGTGGGTAGCTGTCCTGTGCTTCAGGGAACTGGTGGATTGTCCTCAAAAGATGAGGAGTGGGAAATAATGGGTCCTGCTAGCGAGGTGGCCGAAGAGGCTGTGTCCTCCCTCATACAAGCGGAGTGCGTGGGTGCTGTGTCGACTCAGAGTGAAATGTCAGAGTCTGTTAAGTGCTGGAGTGGATTTTAGCAACTTCTTCTTGTCCATCAGTGGCAATAATAGGCCCGTTACTAATTTCTCTCCAAAGATCACCGAGGAGGACTGGTGCATTTGGCATTTATAGGGCAGTGGCAACATTTTACTCTAGATAGCCTAAAGCAAAACTAACCACTGCCTCATTTATCGGAAACTGTTTGTATGAAATCTTGCTATGTAGCCCAGGCTGACCTTGAACTTGCCATCTTCTTGCCTCTATCTCCTGAGGGCTAAGATTATAGTTGTGAACCATCATGCCAGGCTCCATCCTTTCCTTTTCAAAAGTACTCTGTTGTTATTTTGATTGGTGTGCTCATTCAGCCAACAGTTAATACATGTTTAGCTTTTTTGCCAGAGATGCTAGGATATTAGAGATAATTTTCCTAACTCCTAGAAGCTGAATAATAATCAAAGTTAACATAATATCTGAGCCAACATTTATTTCTCTCACATCCCGTAACCTGGTTCAGTTAGGCTGTGAGAATGTCAGTAAATGCCCTCAAAATATGCCTGGAATATAACTTCTTGTGCCTTCTGCTGCTAGCTCTTCCCAAGCCACCAAGGTCTCTGGTATGTTGCCAGGCTCTCACGTCCTCTCATTGCCACACTGTTCTCCACAGGACAGTGGCCACCACCCAGGTAGGATATGGCTCCCATGTCACACCTCTGCAGCAGGCCTCTCGATGGCCGTCTGCCTCACACTGGGGAAGCCTGTGGTTGGCCTCCTGTTCCTTAAACCCACCAGGCACATCCTTGAGTCAGAGCCTCACTAGTTTCTGTCGGCCCCACCTGGAACACACTGTCTGAGGCACCTACACAGCTCATTCTCTGTCCTTTCAAGCTTTATTAAAACGCTGCCTCCTTAGTGGGTATTTCCTGACCACCTTACTCGGATTCGCAGCTCCCTCAAATCAGAGCTCCCGCTTTCTCTC